TCTTGAAAAGTATTGTAATTTAAAGAATGAGCATCTTTAAATCCTAAGACAATGAAACATTGTTTGAACATAGTATATTGCATACGTGCAGCACTCTTTTGAAAGAGTATATATAGCCGTCCTTGAAGAATTTGTTGTTTTCTTTTGTGCACGACCCTCTTGATATGAATGAGATATTTGATTCAAAAGATGCATTACTGTTGGATAGTACTGACCACATTTCTTCAAGTGAGAGTTGTCTCTCTAAACCAAAGTAAATGAAGGTTGGGCTGACCAAGGGAAATAGTACATAGTACACATGTCAAACACAAGTAATTCAGTTTTCCAAATGCTGCTTCTTCAACAATATTCTGTTGTAAGAAGCAAAAGAGCATTCTTTAATAATGCTCGCCGTTTCCAACATATTGCACTTTTGAGAGGGATGCTCTATGTCATTAATACTGCGTATGCATATTGTGCAGATATATATATAAATCTTGACTTTTCGAAAAAGGATATTGCTCAATTGAAATTTTGAAATGCACACTGCACTCCCCCAAAGGGGACTGGTATGGTGTTTCTTTTGAAGGAATACTTCCGATTTTGTAGGGATATTCCTGCAAAAACAGAATGCATTGCTCCAAAGGAAAGTTACACTTATTAAGAAGGGTATGCTGCATTTCTGTTTTGAATACTGCATTTGTTGGCAGGTATGGGTATGTTGTAATTACGTTGAAGACATCTAGCATATTCTGCAGAAATTCTGGTTTGTTAAAGGGACACTGGTTTGCATTTATCGGTAGAGGGAACACCGATAGGACATTTCTTGAAGCAACATATCCTTTGGATGATCTTCCAAGATCCTTTCTTACCAGGTAGCTGTTCATTTAATCCTCCGATGTTGTTGTATCCGAACCAGGTGTCTCTTCAAAGATTAGTCTTTTAATGTGTTTTGTTTTTCCAAATAAGGCAGTTTTACTCTGTTTTTTTCCTTCAATGCACGTTGTCCATTATGATATCAGTTAAAATTTATTTTTATACTGATGTGTATCCATTTATTTTCATGAATATCCCAGTTATGATATATTATATCCATAGTATATCCATATGAATAATACTTACCTCCATTCTTCTTTGGTGACTTATTGTGACTTGTATCCATACTATTAGTATAGTATATCCATCTTAGAACATATAGTTCCATAAACTTATGTAAGTACAGTAAAGATATCCTTAGTACTATCGATTTCCATAATATACTACATATATATATATATCCATCTTACTACATAATAATATAATATACATACTACATATGTCCATTATTTAGTATATCCATCTTATCTCCGTATAAAAACATGGCCTGGCGGCCCCACGAAAACGCCAGGTCCTCGGAGCTAAAAAAAAGATTAACTCGGTGAACTAGGGCTGATAAGCCATTAACAATTACTTAAATTAATTAACAATAATAACTTGGTGAACTAGCTGATTAGGGCCTTTTTTTGATGATTTATTTCATAACTATATAGATACTATAGTTAATGAAGTCCATAGGCTTTCTAATTTAGAAACCAACACACATCACTCCCCATCACCTCCAGGTTTTCAACTTTTCCATGTGGAGACCCTGGTTTAGCTGGTTGGTTTATTTCATGGAAAATCCCATCTATAAATGGATGATAACTAGGGGTACCCCCATTTCAGGAAACCTCCATATATATATATATATATATATTAATATTATAGTGGAATTGTTTGTGTATATAACAAAGTGTATGCAAAAATAAAAAACATGTCTGATTATATCTGCTCTTGCCTAGACATAGCTATATGCACACCGCAGAAAGTTCTGCGCTTTTTCAGATTCAGCAGGGATTGGCAGAAGCCTTGTGCATGAAGCTTCGGAGAGTCAGTTTCTTTGTCATGTCCATCAGTTTGAGAACGATATTCTTAATGTGCAATATATATATATATTAATATTAATATTATAGTGGAATTGTTTGTGTATATAACAAAGTGTATGCAAAAATAAAAAACATGTCTGATTATATCTGCTCTTGCCTAGACATAGCTATATGCACACCGCAGAAAGTTCTGCGCTTTTTCAGATTCAGCAGGGATTGGCAGAAGCCTTGTGCATGAAGCTTCGGAGAGTCAGTTTCTTTGTCATGTCCATCAGTTTGAGAACGACATTCTTAATGTGCAAAATATGATTGGAATAATTCAACTAAGTTTTCAATATTGAGATAATTTGGCAGATTGCAAGTGGCAAACCATGGCGATTATGATTTCCAACTGGGTCGATCTAAAGTTGAAACAATGATCATGATAGTAATGGGGTGTCCTTCGTATGTTGAATACTGGCTGGTTCACCCCAGTTAATACATGGGTTGTAACCCCAGTCATGGTTTGTCCAGTTACGGCTCTAGGATTGCCACCCACTGGGGTTGTCCAGTTCAGGATTGTTAAACCATGTGAAACACCAATCGAGCAATGGCCAAAACCCTGTAATTAATTATTATAGCGGTCATACCGCCTGGTTTGTTGGAAGCCAGTAAACAAAGAGAGTTAGATGTATTATTATTATTATATCATATAGTTATACATATAGTTGGTTGCTAATATGACAAAATATAACTTGATATATCAAGCCTTTTTTAAATATATCAAACCTAACATAACTATAATATGTATATATCACATATTATGAACGGAATGTAACTATTCGAAAAAAAACGTATACCATTCGTATACCATATAGTTGATTTATAACATGTTATTGTATATCACTATATCACATAACTATTCAATACTATTCATGTATATACCGTGTATAACTTTCCCATGTAGATCAACGGTGGGATTTGGCGTTTTGGATGGGTGACTTGGATGGGGCCAACCATCGCCAGGTTAGATCCACCTGAGGAAGGCCATGCTACAGGATGGGGACCAAAAAACAGTTCGTTAGCCAAGTTGGTTTATATATGTTTATATGGTTTATAACTATAATAACAATAGTGTATGATACTTATAACATCTTATAACTATATTTAGATTGGGTTATCAACCAACTTATAACTGTCGGGGAAAAATCCTGTAGGATTTGATGTTCTGATTTATAGAAGACGGATGTATTGGATGTATTTTCATAACATATTTTCCCAATGGTGATTTTAAATCATGCATTTATAGAATCATACGATTTATCAAATGATATTTCTGTAAATCTGAACATTTAAAATTGATAAATTGTAAGATATATGTGTTTCTATTAAATGAAACATTTCTATATTTCCATATGAAACTTGGGTTTTGCTGATCTATAAATTGATATCTGATATGTGTTTTGCCGGGTGTATCGCCGGATAACCCAGGAGGACTTGACGTCGCGACGTCGCACGGTTTTTTGTCATGGTTCGTTGAGTCGCTGTCAACGGTCCGTTCACATGGCCAAAATGAAATTAGGTCTGGGGGATGTGTTTGGGATATTACAAGAGGAGTTTTTCACGAAGAATTTGTGATTTAGTTATATAAATGATATAAGTTGTGGTCCCCTCTCGGTATGTATCTGGATTCCCCCACAGAACTTTCCGACCAGTATTCCTTTTCGACCCTGTTGGTGTACTGTAAGTTGGGAGAAATCTTTGGGGGTTTCTTGACAGGGTTGGGGCTATAACTAGGGTTGGATGTGTGAAACTAAACCTACAAACATAGCCAAACAAAAAGCCTTCTACCCTCTGGTCTGGTTGTTTAACATAGCCATGGAAAATAACCATTTTCAATAGGTAAACCATCTATTTCTATGGGCCATCTATACCATGGCTATGTAACAAATAACCAGATGGTAAGTGTTTGCGCAATCCATCCACCAAGTGGGTGTTGTCATTTGTGAGCCGACGCTCAGCTGAAGACATCAATGGCCTTCGTAGCCTTAGACTTGACCATGTTTCGAATTTGAATTCATCTGCCACTGACTATAGACTATATATACGTATATATCTATATATGTAATGTGGTAAATAAGCCCAATGCCATATAACATATCCCCAAGTCACCATCTCTATATGGGTGCATATGGATAGATGATAGTTTTACCATCCCAAGTTTGGAGTTTATGGCAGCCGGGAGTTCCCACATTGCCGGTTTTTTTTTTTCATCCTGGGTAGCCTTGAGGAGACGATGCAGAAGCTGCAAAGTCTTCAGGCAGCTCGTCACGAGTTTTTTCTCGTTTTTTCTCAGCGTTTTTTTTGTTGGAAACCTGGTTGGCGAAATTGGAGTGACTTTAGCCTAAACCATCACATTTTTTTGGGTACTGTTGTTTGATGTTGTTATCCTTGGGATGCTAGTCCTTGATTCCACAAAGTTTGTTGCCCAGAAAGTGTGCCTTTCAGCGGTTTTGGGGTATTCAATGGTATTCATATTCCCCCAACAAATGGGGAGCGAAGGGTACAGTCAAAGATATGTGCCGGGCTGAGATGTGCCAAAGTGTCTCAAGATACGGGTGGTCTGGTGGGTAACTTTTATCAGACATTATGGCTCTGGGTTTATGATGCTTTGTGCATAAAACGCCTCACTATGGCATCGCAGCAAGTTCTGCTCTTGTTTTTTGATCGGAAGCGTTATCGCTTGATATCGCTTGCGTGTTGTCGCCATGGCTTGTTTCCGCTACCACATGACCTTCATCGACGAGGTCGCGGAACCAGCAGTGCAGGTCATCCGAGCAAAGAGCTGTCCGCCAATGCCGACTCTTTGCTTTTGTCATGTGGGAAAACCAAGAATACTCCATCCCCACTTTTGCAAGGTTGTTGTGTTTGATGTTTACCAGAAACTTAGGCCTTTCATTGAAATTCATTTACCCTCTGGTACTTTAACATAGCTATTGAACTTGGCATTTATAGTATAGTTGATCTACCCATTAAACATTGTGATTTTCCATACTTATGTAAACGTTTACCAGCGGGTAAATAGGTTGCTGCCGGAAGTCAGGATGTACAGTTTTTCGTGTTGGCTCAGTATCCAAGGAAGACGTTGCCAATGCCCAAAGATGCAACCAAGCTTCATGCGATGCGCGAACAGAAGCAGCGTGCACTGCAGGTGCATTGGCTTCAAAAGCTGAAGATTTCCTTGTTATATTGCATATAATATATAATTTATATTTTTACACATGTATTATGTATAAAACTCTTCGTATATACAATTCAAACAGAGTTATGTTGTACCTGGCGTACCGAAAAATCCTTTCAAAGGTAAACGTATGATTGTTGCTTGAACTTACCCAAGATAACCTGCGTTATGCACAACGTTTCGTTTGGTATAGACCCAGATTGTTCACCAACGAAAAGGACCTACAAATATTCTGGGACCAATCCGGAGGTTTCGGGTACCAACTGCGTCAGGTGTCCAAACTTCAGGAAAGGTCCAAGCTGGTGTCTACGGGGCAGGCTGCCCCACATGAAATTGGCGGACTGGTCCGCCAGGCCGGGGCTAGACGCAGTGGTGTGTTGTTTTTGATTGGGTGGTCTTAATACTAGGGTCCTGAAACATGGTCACGTCATGGTTCCAAAAGTATTGGCTTGTTGGGTTTCAATCCCTGGGTCTGGGAGATTTGGCTTGAAAGCACTTGGTCGATCATTGTCTACAACACAAACACAAGTCGAAATGAAGCAACTGAAAATCGAAAACATTGGGGACAGGAACCTTCACATGTTGGCGGAATACAATTTTTCCCGGCCTTCAAGGCTGTTTCAACATGTATCAGGCTGTTTTCAGCTTGCTTTCAGACTCAGATTCCTGCACATGGTGCTTTACATTTCTTACATAGGGGTTGGGCATTCAAAGCGCCCGCTTTGATCCGTGTTTTTCTTCAAAAACAAAAACATTGGGCACAGGAACCTTGACATTTTCATGGAATGCCACTCTTTTAAAGATACCCGTTTGTACCACCACTTTTTAGTCCTGTAGGTTTACTTCAGAGAAAGTTTCGAAATCCAAAAAAATGAATTAATTCTGCACTTGTTAAACGTGTATTACATGGATATATTATATATAATTATACTATAATAATGTACATATAAGATGACCTAGTGCCCTAGCTTTAGGACCATGGGTTTTATTTTTTTGGACCTTGGCCATATGTAAAATAGATTTGAGAAGGGGGGGTTAGGGGACAGGATAAAAACATGGGCGTCGATTCGACACTAGGATTATTTTGGAAGGGGGGAAGAGGACAGGATAACATTTTTGAGGTGTTGGATAAATATGACCGAAGCTTAGACGCTGGGAGACCAGGATTTGTTTTTCACGGATTTTTGATGTTGTATGGATTTTATAGCTCTAACATCTCCGATTTTAACATCATTGTTTTTTAATGTTGATAGGTTGGAGCCCTAGGAAAAAAACATGATTTCAGTTTTTTTTCCAAGGAGTGAACCTCCCTGGGTGGTCCAAAGGGGTATTGTTTAAGCGTTTTCAAACCTTATGTTTTCAGACTGCTTTCATAGGTCGCTTTCGGACTCCTCCTTTCAGATTGCCTTTCGATTCCTGTCATGTTGCTTTCAGATTCCTTACATGGAGTTCGGGCGCTCAAAGCGCCTGCTTTGAATTTGGCTTCTTCTCTGAAAGAGTATTGTTCGTTGGGGCCAAAGATCACAGACATTTGATCATCAGTTGGGTCACTCGCGAAAGCAAAGGGGGCGGTGTGAGATCTGTCTGTTTGGCTCAATGGCTGTCCTGCTGGGTGCTGCGATTGGCATGGAGCCGGGCAAGGGCGGGACCACCCTAATATATAACCCAGAACCATGTTTCGATTAATGAGGGGGCATGCTTGGCATGCAGTTCAAAGTTCAAGGACCGCAATCAAAAACACAGTGAAACTAAATGCCAAACCTGAAAAACGGCCGACCTGCTCCTATTTTTGTAGGAGGGAGTGTTTTGTGGGAAACCGATTATTCCCAAAAACCAGACCCGAAATCCAAACAAAATCAATGGAAACTAATTATGCTTCATATGCGCCCGAACATGCCCCTTCACACTGTAGCTGTATAGATCATCCGAAAGTGGAAATTGAGAGGTTTCTTTAGTTTTGAAGAGTTGGATGTTCTATGCATGTGCTTTATTTGCTCCTGTTGGTCTGGATTGAGGGGTTATGTATGGTTATGTCACATCATGGTCAGGCGACCCCTTCGCTGGGAAGCTACGGCCATCCCAACATTTGTCGAAGGCCATGCATCTTGATGGTGAAAGGCACGTGTCAGAAGGGCGCAGATTGTGGTTTCTGCCACCAGGATCACGATGCGTGGTGAAACGTTCAGCAAGGCTGTAGTCTGATTTATTGCAAGTCTCGGCATGTCTCGCATTTTTTCCCAATTTTGGTTAGACATCTTACTTGGTGTTTCACCTTAGTAAGTGGGTCATAAGTTCTAAGTCAGTGCTCGGCCCGTGCAGGGGCGGAAGTTTCGGATGGCTTTTACATGCACGCGGGTTCGGGTACACGCGTGCACCCTGAAAAGCGTCAAAGCCGCAAAGCCACAAAGCCGCCATGGAACGCTCAAGCCGCAAAGCCGCAAAGCCGCAAAGCCGCAAGCTCTGAGACGCAGGCGCTGTCTCCTGTGTTCATCGCCGCTGTGTTGCCAGAGCGTCAAGAAGCGTCAAAGAGCCGCAAAGCGCCAAGGCGTCGAAGCACCACGAAGCGTCAAAGCGGCAAAGCTTCAAGAAGCGCCAAAGCGTCAAGAAGCGTCAAAGCTTTAAGAAGCGGCACAGCGCCGAAGCGTCAAAGAGCCGCCAACGAAAGGCTGGCTGTGCTTAGAAGGGGACGGGCTTGCTTACGGAAAGAGGTCTGCAACCAAAGGCTGGCTGTGTTTAGAAGGCGGGCTTGCATATTGCGAGACAATTCGTAGCGAATTCCGAAGAACAATGGCAGATGTTATGGCAACCCCCAAAAGATTGAAACGTAGCATTCGACTAAACGAACGGCAACTTTCCTTCCTATTTGGTTGAAAGATATTATCTACAATGTCCCCCCCGGTGTGATAGACAGTCCCGGCCTATGCGACACAGACCTTGCAAAAACAACTTCAAACAAGAACAAGAACAGCAACAACAACCACAACCACAACAACCACAACCACAACCACAACCACAACAACAACCACAGCCACAACCACAACCACAACCACAACCAACAACAACAACAACAACAACAACAACAACAACCACCACAACCACAACCACAACCACAACCACAACCACAACCACAACCACAACCAACAACCACAACCACAACCAACAACCAACAACCACAACAACAACAACAACAGCAACAACCACAACCAACAACAACAACAACAACAACGACAACGACAACGACAACGACAACGACAACGACAACGACAACGACAACGACAACGACAACGACAACGACAGCAACAGCAACAGCAACAACAGCAACAACAACAACAACAGCAACAGCAACAACAAGAACAAGAAGAAGAAGAATAAGAAGAAGAAGAAGAAACAGAAGAAGGAGAAGAGGAAGAAAAAGAACAAGACAAAGAACAAGAACGAATAGAACAAGGAGAACAATGAGAACAAGATCGAGAACAAGATGAAGAACAAGAACAAAAACTACAACAAGAACAAAAACAAGAAACAGAGCAAGATCAAGAACAAGAAGAAGAACACAACCACAAGAACAAATCTAAGAACAAGAGCCACAACACCAACAACAAGAAGTCCTTAACTTTCGATCATCCTTGATGCTATGCTGCAAGATCTTGCCCTTGATTTTCGAACAACTTTGATGCTACGCTGTCAGATCGCAGCCTGATCTTGCAATCATCTGGGATGCTACCGTGTAAACATTTTGTCCTTAACTTGCAAATCCTTGTTGCTACAAAGTAAGATCTTGTCCTTAACCTTCAAACATGTCGGATGCTACGCTCCAAGATTCTGTCTGTCTTGTCCCTAACCCTCAAACATGTTGGATGATACGCTGTAAGTTCTTGTCCTTGACGAACAAGAACAAGAACCAGAACAAGAGAAAGAACCATAACCACAAGATTAGAAACAAGAACAACAACATCAGCAACAACAACAGCAGCAGCAACAACAAGAAAAATAACAATAACAAAACACAATAGTTAAACAACAAGAGCAAGAACAGCGATAACAACATTAACAACAAGAACACGAACGAAAACGAGAACAAGAGAAATAATAACAAGTTCTTGGAAGATCTGGATGCTGCCCAAGAAGATCTTGTCCTGAACTCTCAAGCATCTTGTATGATTTTGGTTGCTATGGAGTAAGACTTTGTCCTTAACTTTCAATCATCTTGGGTGCTACGGTGTAAGATCGTGCCCTTGACATTCAATCATCTTGGACGCTACGCTCGAAGAGCTTGTCCTTAACTTTGAACATCTTGGAAGCTATGCCCTAAGACCTTGTTCTTGAATTACAAACATCTTGAATCTGGGATGCCACGCTGTAAGACCTTGCCCTTAATCTTCAAACATCTTTGATGCTACGGTGTCAGGTCTTGTCCTTAAGTTCTAAACATGCTTGATGCTACTTTGCAAGATCCTCTCCTTAACTTTCCAGCATCTTGGATGTTACGGTGCAAGATTCTGTCCTTAACTTTCAAACATGTTTGATGCTATGCTGAAAGGCCTTGTCCTTAACTTTCAATCATTATGGATTGTACGGTGTAAGATCTTGTCCTTAAGACCTGTCCTTAACTTTCAATCATCTTGGGTGCTACGCTGTCAGGTCTTGTCCCCAACCTTCAGACATGTTGGATGATACGCTGCAAGTTCTCGTCCTTGCCTTACAAAAACAAACAGCAAAAACAAGATTAAGACCCTGGTCAAGATGGAGATTTTTCCTTCAACCAATCTATTGATGGTCGGCTTCAAAACTCCGCAGGGCCTGGTTTATAAGATTTGATATAGGTATGACGATGGAATTCAAACCCCCCACCAGTTAGAATATACCCTTTTCATCAATGATGACATGCTCAATAACCAAAGTTATAAGTTATAACACACTCAAAGATGTTATGACCCGCGAAACGGCGACTTACAAACCACGCTTGTTAATCACCTACTAAGGTAAACCATCATTAAACAACCCACAAAAATTACTAAACAGGTAGTCGTAAGTTCGCTGGCTGCAGGTGAGCGCTGGCCCTCAAATACAAACAATCTGGCCCTTTGTTTTTTCTCCGAAACAGCTTTTATACCTATGTTTCAATCGGTGCTTGAAAAAAAGTAAAATCTACAAAATCACTTTTTTTCCAAGATGGCATGTCTCAAAGAGCCGCAAAGTGCCAAAGCGTCACAGAGCCGCGAAGTCTCAAAGCGCCAAGAAGCGCCAAAGCGTCAAAGAGCCGCAAAGCGCCAAAAGGGCCAAGAGGCACCAAAGCATCAAGAGCGCCAAGCGCCAAAGCGCCAAAGCGCATAAGACCGCAAAGCTGCCAAAG